GTGTTTTTTTGTGTGTATCCCCTCGTATATATATATATATATATATATATATATATATATATATATATATGCAGTGATATAACACACTACAAATATGCAAATATTAAGAAAAGACACCCTTACAAGACGTCCATTTTTCCAGAAATCACTGAATGTCACTTGATTATTATGCATGCTGCATGATCTGACTAGGATTTTTAAAGCAAATACAAGTACCTAGACTTGTCTTACAGCCAGACAGATATATGAGGCATGAATGCTTTGTGTTCCAACTGGTTGTGAATGCAAATAAAGAAAGGCAACTAACATTTTTATACAGACTACATCAGGGCTCAGAAGAAAGACAGGTGTAAAGACCAATTAACTGACTCAGAATCTTTAAGCCTTATTTGTAATGTCAGTGAACATTTACTTACTCTGACACACAAGGCCTCGTTCTATAGGCCACATGAAGAAAGATGTGCAAATTTCACATGCTGTTGGGATGTTGATAATTGTCAGGAGAAAAGTGTGACCTGCATATGCTATTGGATCCTCAACCTTGCGCTTCTTTTCTTTCTTTCGCTTTGCCTTGTTTGGTTTCTCCTCAAGGCGATTCAGATTCATGAATTCATTCATGAAGCCTCGGAAAGCATTAACACCCATAGTAACAGGAAAATCTTCCCGAGTCTGCTCCTGGTTACACACTGTTTCCATCACCTGCAGAAATCAATGTGACCATAAACTGTAAACTTCTTAAAAAGCTGTATTTAAAACAATGAATATTTCACTTGAATGCATAATACAGAATCTCATGCAATGCGTGGATTACTGATCCAGTTCCACAAAACACCAAAATTTTCTTAATAATTAGTGTATATCTTTCTCACCACAAAATTTTCTGCCCTGACTTCCAGAAAAAAGTAAACTGCAAGAGGATTTCTATTTCTATAGTCCCAGAAAAATATACAAATAGGGTACCATTTCTGTAAAACATCATATTTCCTCACTACACACACTTGCAGATTCTTGTCATAATAGAGTATCCTGAACTATCCTTTCCACAAAAAGATGCAGAAAGAGCTATACAGCAAAATAAATGCTCCCTTAGGTAAGCCACACTCCGGCATGCATCAAGACATGATGTCTGTGACATGACACAAACAAAAGAGCACAGTTTAAATGAATGAGATTATGAAAACCACCGCACACCGGTCTGAGTCATGATGCTGATGTCAGCTTCATGCTGATGAATCATGAATGAAGCAAGACTGTGTCTTTTGTCTTATGTCTTGATGCCTGTCTTGACACAGTTGGTGTGGGGCCACCCTTAGCCTAGCAAACTAACCTCCCCCACCCCTAAGTTGGTGTCTTGTACATACATTCCCTTTTACTCATTTCCTCTATTGTCTGGTGCTACATTGCCATTACACTCTGATTATGTGGTGAAATCTCAATGCTATACAGTCTGAGCTGTTGACAGCAACATTTCCAGAACTTCTTCGTGACTAATTCTCTGTTCCTACTTGGTACAATATGGAAAACTTTTGGACTCCATGCTGTACAATGTTTATTATATCCTCATTTCTCTTTCCAGGATGTGTGACAGCTTTTTCATATGGTTCTTATGTTTCTCAGAAGACAGAAGCACCATATGCTATCATCTGCTATGGGTTTCTGAATGCCATATGACCATACGTTACATGTTATGGGATACAGACTGCACAGTAATTCACCAATGAAGGGGTTAATAAACTTCTTTACTCTGTAACCAGCCAAGTAACAGGTCAGCACCATTAAGCAAACAATAAATACTAAACAGCAATATCCCTACTAATGATCTCTCTGAGTCCCTGAGAGGAAATCAATCTGAACACTAAACTGAGGAAAACCTAAAATGGACTCAACTCAATATTGAAGTGTACTGGGTTAGAGTAACTGACACTGCCACTTATTGGTGGAAAAACTTTGGAATGAGTAACATTAAATGGAGGTTTCACTATGTGTAAAGGAATGAAAAGTTCTTCTTACACTGTACATAAAATCTTGAGTTTTCGGAAACCTTGCCCCTTCTTAGCCAGAATTTGTTCTCTCCAACACAATACTAAAATAAAGTTTCTTCCATGCTCTTTAACCTTCAAGTATTTGTTTCATACAATGATATTCACTTACAAATATACAAGCTGAAGAAAGCAGTCTTCTGGGACTTGGCACCGTGTATATGTGGTGTTAACCGACGTTTCGGAGGAACGTATCGCCCCCATCTTCAGGGTTGAAGAAAAAGTATAAGTAAATCTGCAAGCGACAACACCGTGAGACACGGTAAAGCAGTCTGCCTTACCGTGTCTCACGGTGTTGTCACTTGCAGATTTACTTATACTTTTTCTTCAACCCTGAAGATGGGGGCGATACGTTCCTCCGAAACGTCGGTTAACACCACATCTACATGGTGCCAAGTCCCAGAAGACTGCTTTCTTCATAGTCACCGCCGTGAAAGCCTCAAATCTTACAAATATACAAGCTGACCTTGGTACCATGCATCATGACAAATGCATTTGTCTGTTAAAAAATATGACAGGGTATAAACAGGTATGAAAATACTATGTCTTTCTCCCTTTCAGAAAAGAAATCTACAAATAATGAATTTTAAAATGTGTAGCCCAAAATTTGTAACAAAGAAGCTGGACTTACATGTAAAAAGTTTGCAATGAGATCCTTGTATTTTATGTTTAGCCCTTCAGCACCTTGCTTGTTCATCACACTGTATGTCGCTACAAGATTGTCCTTGAACTCTCTCAGTGCCTGTTTAAACACTCGATCCACTTCACTAGGTTTCTTTACCTCCTCACTCTCAATTTTGTAGATCTGCAAGTACAATAATACAAGTATCACCTAAATGCACAAATACAACAAGTGGCCCCATAAAAAAAAATTAAAAGTTTAAATTAAACAAAACTATAATTAGCTGGAATGAAAACTGACTCATTATAGCCTCCTTTTTAATATGATGGGAGTACACATAAAATTATTATGACCATACCACCATGTATATTATAATTAAGTAATAAAAATATGTCATGCACTTCGTACATCATGTTTAATATGGCTGTATTCAGAGATGGCAATATACTCCTTGACAGTATCTTTTTACACATCAAATAACAGAGAACAGCTCAAATAGTACACAAATATTAACATTTCACTGTAATGTAAAACTTAAGAGCTATGGTGAAATGCCCAAGAGTTTAAACCTACAAAAATTGGTTTGGGAGTAAGAGAAAGTTCCAAAGTAACTCAGCATAACTTTAGTTCTCCAGTACAAAATTCAGTTTCCTACAAACTAATATTTTGGCCTTAATTTTATAAAATTACGACACAGATTCTGAATTAAAGCAAAAAAATCAGTAGATGAGAGTTTATATTAAACTTGATGCTGTATTTAAGATATCTATAAATTCAACCTTGGATATCTGACAATGCAGACAACTTGCCTTTTGTGTGATGAAGTCTTGCATAAGCTGTAACTCAGTAGCATCAGATATTATCTTGTCTGTGCTGTCTGTAAACTCGGAGGTTCCAGTGAGATTGAACTTGCTACCTGATGCAGGTTTCACCATATCATGTTGTGTCCGTGAAGTCTTACGTTTATTCCTACGAACTGAGTGTGATGATTGCTGCTGCTGACATGGTATCCGTAAAACACCTCCATTTTGGATACATTTTGTATGGAATAATTGCTTGCAGTCTGGGAATGTTCAAACATCATGTTACATTTCTGTTTTCACTATTTATGGTCACATAATTTTGAAACAGCATGTTAGAGAACATGATTTATTTATATGCAGTTTACTTAATGACAGTGTCAGCAACCCAGATTATACAGCATCAAATAATATGACAGTGAACAATGAACTGCAAAAGCTGAAGAACAAAGCAGTTATGACCTTATTTGAGATACTATCTTTGCCTGTATCTGAAGGAAATGGGGAAAACCACAAATATATTGTAACCTGTTGCGCAACGGAGAACCCCTCCCTACCCAGCAGCAACGTGGCAACTCACGCCACAGGCGCGTGGCGGTAACGTAGCGCTCCCTCCCACCCCTACGCGGTGACGTAACGTGCAATGCTACGTACCCGTAATCAACTTCCTACTGTGACGTGGCACTCATTACGCAACAGGCAAGCACTGCAGCTATATAAGTGAGCTGCACAGCAGCTACCAGTCAGTTCTACTGTAGCAGTCGGCGACTTCAGTTGTAATGAAGACATTGCCGAGTTGTACTGTGACAGCCGAGGAGAGTTATAAAGTAACAGTCGCCTAGTCAGTTATAGCGTGGCCATCGCCGAAGATAATTCCGAGCAAGCCTATGAGCGAGTGTGTTATCAACAGTTCTCCAGTCAGCCGACTACAAGTTGGAGTATAGCAGCCGTCGCGGAAAGAAGAACCGGACGTGTGTGTAATTGTGTAATTGGGAGCGTGTGATACAGTGATACCTAGCTCCCCTACTGTCAACGTGTAGACTACTGAAGGCAGAGTGAGCTGATATGCGCATAGGGTTATAAATCGTGAAACCCCGCAACAGTGTAAACAGATTAATGCGATTAGGGTTATAAAGTGTGAAACCCCGCAACTGTGTGATAATCAATTGTAGCCGTTACTTGTAGATTGTTGAATAAAACAATTAACAATCTCTACGGCGTATTCAGTGACGAAACGCGTTACACTGGTGTCAGAAGTGGGATTAGAACTTACACACGTGACCGACGAGATTCGATCTCAAGACACGTGACAATTTGGTGTCAGAATTTTTACGAGCTTAAACACGCCTCGAAGAATTAAACTTACGACTGCTTCGACTATTTTACTGCTACAAAATGGAGACAGAGCAATTGTTGGAACTCCTGCGGAAGGAATTGAGGGCCCAGAGAGAAGCTGCTGAGAAAAGGGCTGACGACAGGTGGAAAGCCTGGCGAGGAAAGATGGCCGCCATGCGAGAAGAGCTGGTCGCAGAAACGGAAGCCAC